TGTGTATATTTATTTATTTATTTATTTATTTTACATATCAACGGACAAACTCCATTTTTACATCCATGCAACAAAACAAGATGGAGAAAAAAAAATTCGTAACAATAATATGGCATTGCTCTGGCCTTAGTGCAAATCGTGAAAATACATGCATTTAGAAATAAGAATGTACATAATGATTCAAGTGTAAATAAATAACACAACAATAACTAACATATACAATAAATAACATACACAATAAATAACATATAGGCATACAAATAAAATAAATAGATAGTGAAATATGCAAAACAAAACAATAAAAATATACTATATTTATTGAACAACAGACCTGCCAAGAACTCCCTGCATTTAGATATGTAGTGAACAAAATTATTTCAAATATGATAGATATTGATAACAAATCTTCCAAACTAGGGACTACGTTGAAGCTTCCTCTTCATCGAAGCTACACTGTCCAGGAAGAAGTCGACAGTTTCGGGCACGTTGTTGCCCTCCCTTTGCATGCGGATGAGTGCGGCATTCATCTCGTAGTTCGTGTGGTGGTGCTGTCTAACAAACAGGTCTCTCGAACGGGTGCGTTGTGGAGTCCGAAATTGAATCTGGTGAAGCATATCAGGGCAGTCAAGTGAACCATTAAGGAGCTTGTGGAAGACAACGAGATCAGCGATGTGCCTCCTGGTTTCCAGATGCTGAAGACCCAGCTCACGATAGATTTCATCAATCGGGACCTGGCGGTACAGGTAGCCATTCCTCACACCAACCATCCTGGCAAACCTGCGCTGCACCCCCTCCAGCTCGTCGCAGAGATAACGTTGATGAGGGCTCCACACTGATGAACCATATTCAAGCAGCTGCCTCACCAATGCACAGTACAAAGTTTTCAGTGCGGTCAAGTTGGTGAGATTTCTTGAAAATCTAAGTACAAACCCAAGCATTTTGTTTGCCTTCCTGCAGATGGCAGCTACCTGAACTTCAGGATTCAACGACGAGGTCCAAATAACTCCCAGGTCTCTTATCTCCGTAACTCTGGAAAGCTCTTCTCCTCGAACACTGTAGTTAAATACAAGAGGGGTGGTGCATCGATGGAAGGTAATAACTTGACATTTCCCAATGTTAAGTTTCATGTTGTTTGCCAAGCTCCATTGGTCCAGGGAATCCAAACTGTGCTGGATTCTCAGACAATCCTCTTCTTTTGAGACAGCTGAAAAGAGTTTCACATCATCAGCAAACAGTAAGGAGTCAGTCATAATAGTCTCTGGTAGATCATTTACAAACAGAGAAAACAGTGGAGGCCCAAGAAGAGATCCCTGTGGTACCCCTGAGGAGGAGACAAATTCAGAGGACAGGGTGCCTGCAAATTTTACATATAGGCGCCTATTCGAGAGATAGCTAGCCAACCATCGAACTGAGGCGGTATCAAATCCCAGGCTGACAAGTTTATTGAGAAGAAGAGTATGGTCCGAACTGTGTCGAACGCCTTTGAGAAATCCAAATAAACTGCATCCAACTGGTGATTTGATGTGAAAGCTTCAAGTATTTTAGTTTGGAAAACTATTAAGTTGGAGATGGTAGAACGTCCTGATACAAATCCATGCTGACGAGGGGAGATGATGCTGGCTACTTTGTGCTTGATTTGGTCCAAAAAGAGTTCCTCAAACACTTTGGACAACGCAGAGAGGATAGAGATGGGTCGATAGTTGGAGACAATATTATGCGGTCCAGTCTTGTGTATGGGTACAATAAAAGCTTTCTTCAAGGCATCAGGGAAGATTCCATAGGCCAAAGACGAGTTGAAGAGTTTGCATATTGGCTCAGCCAGAATGTGTCTACTGTACTTCAGAACATTAGGAGGAATTTCATCTGGACCCCAGCCTTTGGTCTCATCGAGCTATAGTATAGTCTATAGTCTATAGCTATAGTATATTATATTATTAAAGACCTTATTTATTTATTTTTATTTATTTTATAGGAGTATAGTCTATGTTGAATCCATTGCTATTTTACGGATCAAGTTTTAGCAACGCTGGGGTTGTCCAGTACCATCGCCTATAAAACCTGGGACTTAGGCTATATTATATGGCCCTAAAATGTATCATTAACGTAGGAAGTTTCCTAACAAACCGAATTCAATAGGTACTCTATCCAATCTTACTTCTATGTAGTATTGAGAAATATGTTTCGGCCACAAGAATTCCAGCGGAATATATTTCATTGTCCATAAATTATTTATGGAAATGTGTTAAAAATAGGTAGGTAGCTGTAGTAATGCTCCACAATAAACAGTACTTAAAATAGTACCTACTTTGAACAGTATTTTTAATGTATAATATTTTAAAATCCAGATAGTATTACCTCGTTCTCTCGTAATGTTACAGTAGTAACAATACGCCTTATTTTGCTTCAGTAATTTCACTATGAAACTAAATAGGTTTCTTGATAACATTTACATACACAACTGCATGCTACATGTTTTTTTCTCTTTTTTAGATCGGCGAAGTTGCGTAGAACTTGTAGCACGGCAAGAACGACGACAGACAGAGCAGATGTGTGTGATCACAGTGCTGAGCGCTGAGCACTCACTGACCTCAGCCGTGGGTAACTGGCGCTGATCGCCTCACTTTCACCTTCAAAGGTCAGTTCAAATGTCAGAAACACAACGTGCGAAGAAAATCACCCGGACCGTAGCACATCAGTATATGGCAAAACATACCCTGGCCAGACTCAACCTTCTCTTAACGTGGATCATCGGGCTGAGTTGAGTGTTTAGTCAATCCGCCTCAATTTTAGAAAATCTTAACCTTATTTGAAAGGAATCTTTAGTATTTGTCAAGTTGTATTCACCGATTCATTCGTTTTGATTAGTTTTCTCAAGACAATATGTTTCAAAGTGAAACAACTGCAGATTACTGTTAACGCACAATTTTTCATTACGCATTCTCTCTGCGTAACATTGGATAACTGGGTGTATTAGTATTTGCATTAGTTACAGCTAATGGTAGGCATATTACTAGGAGTGTACGAAAAACAAATCCTCTGTGAAACAATGCAATTTTCTTCCATTGCATTTTTCACCATCGACAAAGTGAATGTGTTGTATGATGTAAACATGTGTATGATGGACCCGGCTGGAGACAGGAAGTGACGTAGCAGTTTGTCAAGTGTTGAACGCTGAGTCGGCGGCAGCGGGTAGTACATTGTAACGGCACACACACTTCCGTACGTAACGTAGACACAATTATAGACTAACCAACACAAGTGTACTTTTCATTCCATTGTACATTTTGAAGCTCGTTTTTCTTGTCTAGTTCATGTCCAGTGACACTGATCGCTAGTGTCTACGATATTTTCTTTATATTATTTTAGGGCTATTTTCATGATCATCGCGCTTTACTGTTTAGTTATATAAATAGAGGACGAGTTATTGTTTATGATTAGATCGTTTTATTTAGTTAAGCGAGGTTTTAAATTAATGAAATTACAAGAAACAAATTGTAAACGAAACACGACATCTACAGTACACCGGACTGTACTAACAATGAAATTGGCTGCAGCTGATCCACAAGGATGATAAATCTACTAAGGAGTATGTTTATCTATGATACAATGTAGATACCAAGTAGATACAATGTTGGATGGTATGTAGATACAATGTAGATAACTGCACGCTTCGAACAAGCCATGAATGCAAAATCTGCTTGGAAAATAAAACTTATTTGCCATCTTCAATCATTACACGTTTTAAAATGAAGTTGAAGTAATTTATCACTCACTATACATGACAATGGAGTTTAGTCTGAGAAGATATGCGAGGCAACTTCTGCTGAGTAGTTATCTACCCACTCAAGACGGGATTAATCATCGTTCGTATCCCTGTAACTGTAAAGGTGTTCATTCCTATTCTGCGTCTGGTCACTGCAATCTAAACAATAACACGGCTAAAAAATTAACGGCCTCTCAGTAATGATGACACTGTGGGGAATTCAAATGCTTTTAAAAATGTTGGAAAGAACTGCTAATAGGTAAACTCCAAAGTGTCCACATATCCTCGAAGTTATGTCTTTTTTGGGTAGCCTTGTGGTTATAGTGATTGCCTTCCAACTGGAGGAGACTAGTTCGACCACACCATTGAATTTATCATATAAATTATATATATTCGATTATCACGTTCTGGGCCTATATGCAATTTTTAAGGAGCTTTAAACTATTAACTAAGCTATCTAACAGAATTTGCTGCGTTAAATACTGATTAGACCAGGGTCTGGATCGCTCCTTTACAAAAAAAAATAATAATAATAATAATAATAATACCAATAAAGTCAAAAACATAAATTAAAAACAATTTACTGTTTAACTCACATAAAGTACATACCTGTAACCAAGTAGTTATAGTGCTCGCCTTTAAATCTGAAGGTTGCTGGTTCGATTCCAAGAGAGGTAGTTATTGAATTTAGATGACATTTATTTGTCTTTGGGCTATCAAACAATAATTCTATCTAACGAAATATAGACGTTTCATAATAACGAGGCTAGGGTTTGGTTTGTACAGCTCCCTTTCAAAATGTAAAAAATGCTATTGTTATTGGTTAACACAAAATAAATGCCTTCTACATACTTGTACCACTTAAGTTTGCAGTTGAGGGAGGAGCCTATTTACCATATGGTTTTGAATGAACCAATGAGAACCATGCGGTATTGCCAGAAGCGCAATAACTAACACTTTTACTGTCAAAATGGCAGTAAATACCTTCAATCAAGAATACTTGATTTTTTTCTGTATACTCTCATTGCTTCTCTCTTTTACCGCTATGTGGAGTTAAGTCAGCCGGGAAATGCTCGGGTTTGGGGGTGGATCTCCTTGTTAACTAAGGGAAAGGCGATGGATGGCCTGTGGCCAGCTGACAGGGAAAGCAGCTGATCTACATAGCTTGGTGGTTGTGGTTGTGGAGACTGTGGTTGTTGTGGTGGAGGATGCGAGAGTGAAAGTCCTCGTCGGACTGAGGACTGAGGAGGTGAGGTAAAGGTAGTAGTGTTGTGTTAACAGCGGCGCGGCGTCCCGTAGCGTCGTCAGTTAGTTTACCATTCATTGGATAGTGCAAAATCCCCTGAAGCAGTTTCGCGTGCAATCACCAATTCTTCGCTATGACTCAATAACAGCTGGGCAAGGTTCGTAAATTTTTCGTCGATAATTAACCGTGTGCTGCATCTAAAATTGTAAGAATTGAGTTGATCAGTTAATGTTAGTTGATGTACTAAAGGATTTTATTATTGATCATATACAGAACTCTCTACCGACCTTTTAAGCTATCATTCCTGAACAAAAGGCAAATTAAAATAACATGTTAACAATTTTCAAAACTTATGTAGTTGAAGTGTAGTGTATCTTGTGTAGTTGAAGTGTAGTGTATCTTGTGTAGTTGAAGTGTAGTGTATCTTGTGTAGTTGAAGTGTAGTGTATCTTGTGTAGTTGAAGTGTAGTGTATCTTGTGTAGTTTCAAAATGGTGGCTATTAAACATCTTTAAACATAAATAACATAAAGACTAGACAGGTAAACAAAATTAATGTTGTAACGTTTTATTTAGACAATGTACTCACAGTTCTAACGATACCAAATGAAAGAAGCCCCGTCCACAAAATTTGTTTTAAAATTGGTTTTAAAATCTAAAATTGAGTTATCTCCATTATTTAATAATTGAGATAAGTCAATTTTAACATGCTGGGTACATAAATATTTTCGCTCATTGGGTAACCAACAATTAAAACCACTGATTGTTTTAGCTAACTAGAATAGAAGTGATCTCACCCAATAACCACAGATATTATAATTGAGCCATACCCCTTATTTATGAAGCGATTTTCTTAAATTTGGTATCGTTAGAATTGTGAGAAAATCGTCTATCAGAATTGTGAGAAATCGTCTAAATAAAACATTCCTACAGTACCTAGTTTTATTTACCTATACAGGGTGTCACAAAAAAGTGTGATGGGCTATACAGGACCTAATTCTACATGCAAAAATAAGTCAAAAATGAGGAACAATTTTTTTTTGATTTCGGCAGGTTAGCCGTAATCCGCCATTTTGTTTTTTGGGGAAAATATTTATTATTTCAAAATCCCTTTGAGATATTTTTACGAAACTTGGCAAAATTGTTTACACTATAGTAAGTAACATTTATAAAAAAAAATATTATTTTAACTTTCCAAATTTAAAAATGGCGGCCGTTTGAATTTTTTAATGCCAAATTTCATGAAAACCGGTACCTAAATCAAAATTTTGTAAGACACAAAAGTTTTAGTATTTATTATGACAAATCCAACAAAACAAAAATGAATAAAATCGGTTCATAAATAAAGAAGCTGTGTTTATTTTAGTAATTTAGACTGAAATTATTAATATTAAAATGTATTAAATGTAATGTAATAATTTATGTAACGTATTAAGTAATTATACGTTCCACTTTTCCACTTTTCCAACTTTTTACGTTTCCACTTCCATAAATAGTTGAACATTTTTTATAAGTTTTGGGATTAAAGGGTTGTAATGGAGAGATTGTTCTAAAGACTCCATGCTTGAAAATGAATTCAATGCATAGTTATCAATAAATTATGACATTTACTTACGAAATTTATCAGAAAAACATAGCAACCATTTGTCTGTGACCGGAGTGGTTCTACTTGTATACAAAGGAACACTGTATACATAGGTACTGTATCATCGGGGCCAAGGGAAAGGAAACACTCCTCACAGACAGTGTCGTTTCTGCAATCGTCATTGATTGGGAAGGCCAAACACCGACGCGTTCGTTTCACTGGCGTGTTTAATGTTTGTAGAAACTCGTTAACATATTGTAAGTTTAGTTAGATTATTGCAACCTGAACAAGATAATGAAGTCATGATACATTGTTGAGAGGTGGAATCGCAAATCTTAGCAGAATTCTGTTGGCGTAAACACAATACTTCCTAGCCTCAGACAATCTCAGTTATACATTTCAAAGGTGACTATAATGTCATATTGTTTAAAAACTACCATGATATCAAACCGCACACATTTCAAAATACAGTATTACGCCCAACTCCAGTCAGGGTGTATACAGGTTTTATTTTACGTTAGCGCACACATACGTGCGTTTCAAACATTCAAGTTTGTGACTTCGATGTCATCAGTCACAGCCAGTGTTGTCTTCGTCCTTGATTTGTAAATACCGATCGGTAAAGGTTTATTTTTGTACCTTGTTTGTGTCTTGTGAGCTGTAGCTTTAACTAACAGACGTCCAATGGACTGAATATTTCGCGCTGGGGCCTGATGATGGCACAACTGATAATGAAAGTCTTGCCATCTCTTTTTTCTTTACTTACTATTTGCTTCTCTTATTTATGCTTTTTACTCTCTTGTTATAAAATGGCTCAATAAACAAGACCTCGATTGTTCTAACTCTTGACAATGCTACGTGAGTAAAAATAAAATTCTGACTTTATTTATCGTAAAATACAAATTACCATTTCAAATAATACTTTCTTTTAATAATCTCTTATTAAATGGCGACGATACAAAGTAGGTACCTATTTTAAGAATAGTATGAATGGGGATGAGTGTAGGATGAGTGGCGCGTTGTTAGCACAGCAACGCGCTCCGGGAAACTGCTATAAAAAAATTAATTGTTGATCATTTTGTATTCACTATGCATTATTATTAAACATATACTTTACATGTAGTTGACATACTAAACCTCAAAATTTAAGATACCTGTATGTTATCCGAAATTCTAGGTAACCGAGGTAGTCTCAGTCCCAACAACCTCGCTTACACTCCCGGTGTACTGTATACAATTGTTTCAACACCATTTACAGTAATATTTGGGACTAAGCCAATATTTAACTACTTTTAAAAAAGTGGAGAAAGTTGCTTTCGACTTGACTTTAGGACTGTGTTTTAGTTTAATTGTTGGATATAAAAAAAAAAATAAAAAAAAAATACATATCCGCGAGAAATATATTTGCAAAGCATTTTATTTGCCTGAAAACTCTCAGATATTTGATTTACGACATATACGTATAACAGTTTTGTCTGCATATCTTGAAAAATGAAAACTCTACAAACAAACCTGCGGTTTTGAATAGAGTATAATAATGTCTCAACAGACTACAAGATCCCCGTCCGTAGAACAGGCACACTACTAGTACACAACTAAATATACTGTTTAAAAATGTATAATATACGATCAAAAGTTGTAATGATAGACTTAGTATGTGTTTTTACTACCGTGTTTTGCTACAATGTTTGCTACAATGTTTTTAATATATTCTGTCTGTATAACATCTCGCCACGGCCTCCGTGATTCCCCCAGCAGAAAGCCAGAAACTGTGACAGTCTTTGTCACAACCGACTACTTTCAAAGTAATGGTAGACGACATCGGTCATCGGATGTCCTATTTGCCGGGCTGAATGGACAGTTAGGCATTATACGAGTAAGTGTTGGGCGGAAATGAAAGTCCGCGTGGTAAATACGCCAATAAATAGAAACAATGAGAGTGTAACTCCTTCCTGTACAACTAGAGAGCGCCGCACCGGACTAGTCTGGACGTTATCGGACAAGTGCATTAATTGGCCAATATGCGAGAGAGTTACAAGAAGTGATATAGGGGAAAATTAAATATACATCCCAACGACCATTATAAAACATAAACCCCTCAAAATGCAACCTTAATGTGATGAAAGAGCTATCTACTAGAATGGTCCATGATATTGATAAGGAGTTTAGTTCAAACATTTCCCTTAACGATGGGCCAAATTCTTACTTCAATACCAAAACGACATATTAAACGATGATACATTATAACCTCAAATAAATACAGTCTTCTCTTGGTAGGTGTAGTGTCCAAACCTTCGCTAAATCAAAACAACGGTAAATTTACATTTTGTTGCTAGCCTATGTAGGTTGGCGGATGGTTAAATAAACAACATATGTAAATATCAAATGTTTCTATTTCACGCCCTCTGCCCGTTTGCAAAGCACGGGTACAACTGGGGTACACAGCTAGTTTAATATAATAGATTTTTTTTTATATTTCCTTTTTGCTAAATAATAAAAAAAATTTACCCAAATGTATTTATATGCCTCAAGGTGACATTAAGTATCTCTCCCGGTTAAATATGAGTTTAGTGATATTTTGCCCATTTTTTTGGTGAGATTGTGCTTGATTTTTAAAGTTTAATGAAAGGTGTCCAAGCTCATCCTGAAATATTTAAAAAAAAAACGTGTTGTCGTGTGCAAGAAGTTGCGGAAAATATGCATGTCTCCCTTGTAAATAGGTCTTAATACGGACAGGTACCCCTTACAACCTGCTTGCATATTGGCCACCACACCGGAGTAAGAAACTCGGTGTCGAAAATCTGAATCTGAATTCTGCTTAAATACAAGCGTGCATCTTGGATGTACCCTTGTGAGCGTCTTGGACGGGTTTCTCGCAATTCCCGGCACAAAACTATAATGGGTTTGTAATGGACAGCTTCCCTGTAAATCCTTTTGAATTAACCAAATTAAAAATGCCACTAGCGTAGACATAAGCAAAAAAAACTGTATCAGCAATCCAACACACACTTTCTACCATTAGCTTGTCAACAACCTTTTTCATATGCAGTAGGAGCAACTTTGATATTTTATAAGGAAAATCGCAAAATTGCAGTGTTGGGAAGTACCGCGCTACAAGTAGCGACGCTACAGTAGCGCGCTACTTTTTTTGTAGCGTTTAGCGTTAGCTGTAGCTACGCTACTTTTAAGATTTTGTAGCTTTAGCTGTAGCTAGCTACATTTTTAAAGTAGTTGTAGCGGAATTTTAGTTACTTTTCTCGCTACATTAACATTGATTGAGATAGTGATTTTTATCACAACCTTTCGTGAAACAACCTTTTTCAAACTGAGATTTTCAAGAAAATTAGGCCTACTTTCTTGGCTTCATACAGCTGGTCGCAGCCGTTTCATTACCTGTTACAACGTTGCGTGGACATGGAGGCCATTATCTGAGTGTTATCAACATTTTTGGCTCTCATTTCCTTCATTTACTACTCTATGATTACTGTCAGATAAAATAAAATCTTATGCAGACGACGTTTAAACGTTACCGGTGACAAGAGAAGGTATTGAATGCTTGCAAGTGATTGACAGGGAAATTAGTTTGTATCAATTTAGTTTAAACTTGGGTTTTAATGTAAACTAACAGTAAACCTTAAAATAATGAGAAAGATGGTCTATCAACCTTTGCTTCAGCTGTTGATTGTGGTTCATCATCACAAGCCCTTCCTTGGTTAGATTACAAAAATTTTTCAAAGGTTTACTAAATGAACGAAGAGGAAATTTCCTGATGAGATTTAAGATATGCCTATAGAATACATAATAATTGTAACGAAAAAATCTCCATATAACATGAAACTTGCATTGAAAAAGTAGCATACTACAGTACAGTAGTTTGCTCCTGCTAACAGCTCTTGTCAAGGACTACTCCTAGGCTATGCTATTGGATTAATACGAATACCAAGTTCAATTAATAGAAATATATCTGTTTAGTCCATGCAAGAACAAGCCTACTATAGCCAACTTGTTACAAAGCCAAGTACGCCTAAATGTTATTTTTACTTAACAATTTTCAACATGTTTAAATTAAAAGCCGATTTTAGGATAAGTTGCTGAATACTGTTTTCTGCACCAACGTTTGGAAGCACAATTTGACCTATGCATAATGACAAAGGACGATTTCTTGACATTGAAAAGTGTTATTCATAGAACAAGTAACATATTACTATAGTTAAAAGTTATAGCAACGTCGTTTTTAACATTAAAAATAACGAAAGGCAATTAACTCCAATTTCAGTAGGCTATGCTCTGTAACACAAAAAAGTATTTTTAAATAATCGTTTTACAGTTTTATTGTTTTTAATACTGTAGTTGATAAAATACATCTATAAATGAATGTATATTAAAGAAATAGAATGGGCTTTTAAAATATAGTTTGGTTGTATGTCCTTTGAACTTAATGAAATTTTCATATAAGATGCTTAAAAATAATACAATATTTAAAAATAAGTACTAAATATGATGGAACACCCAACTAACTTTATTTTGGTTCTGTTCTTGTAATGTTAGGTTTATATGGTTGCAATTTACCTAATGTGCGTGGAATAAAAGTAACGTCTTTGGAAAAGTAGCTAAAATTGTAGCTATAGCTACATTTCATTGTAGCTGTAGTTGTAGCTAGCTACTTTCTCGGAACTGTAGCTGTAGCTAAGCTACTTTTTTGGAAATGTAGCAGTAGTTGTAGCTAGCTACATTTTAAAAGTAGCTTCCCCAACACTGCAAAATTGCAATAACATTTTAACCGGTTTTCTTACAGCGATGGGGGTAACACTATTTTGTTTAGAATTATAAGGACCATAACACAATAATTTTAATCAAAACAGGGGTTTTTTTTTAATCCGATTTTCTATTATCGTGGGGTTTTTCATGGGAAAACTGCAGTTCAAAATAACTTTCAAACCATAATATTTACAGCACCCATGGAAGTTGTACCATTTTATTCTGAATACTAAATTGATATCAAAATCGTTCAGCCAATTTTGAAAAAATTCAATTTTTCCATTATTTTTCTATTTTTTATGAAAAAAATACCATAAAAATGTTACCATAAAAAAATCAAAATTTCAAAAAAGTAAAAAAAAACGAAATACCATGAATAGCACCTTTGACTATTGACACAACTAGACATTCCATCCCCATTTCAAAGTTGTTGCCAGTTTTTTAAAAATCAAAATCATCATTGTTGATGTGAGCCACCTACAGATTTTGCTTATCTAAATTTCTAATCCTATTATAGTCTAATATAAATTTCTAATCCTATTATAGTCTAATATAAATTTCTAATCCTATTATAGTCTAATATAATACGAGCTATGTCTGTCTGTCTGTAGTAATACTGTACATATTTTGAAATCCAGATGAAGGATTTTGACTAAATTTTGGAATTAGGGTCTTATAGCCCTAAAACCGTGATTGGTGACAGTCACTACCTCAGGAAAATTCTAATTTTCGTTACACAACTCGTTTGAAAATTTAAAATTTTAACATTGGCCTTGTGTTGCCAAGTAACTATGTTGGTTGAAAAAATAACAAGTAAAAAGTAAACAAAAGACTTTAAACATGTGTTTATAACAAACCATCCACTATCAAATTATAAAATACAGTACAAAGTGATTATCATAAGTTGATGTAACTATTGAGCAAAGATTACATTGAAGATTACTCAATATAGGGAAAAAAGCAAGTCAGTGTTGATAAGTTATGAGTGTTTCGTGTTGGTGCCGTTTGAGTGCTCTGGCATCAATTTAACAATTCACTCTTATTTAAGTGGAGATTTTACAATTTGAATGCACTCTTTTGTACATATTTTACATAAATTGGACAGCTGCACGGTATTCATAATAAATCGAAATTCTGCTGGAACTTAATGCACAAATACAGAACCTTAATAACAAGACTCTCATGGGGATTTATAAAATAAGACTTGTTATCAAGGTTTGACTTCTTATCGAGGTTTGCAATAACATGTGCTAAAATAATTATTAAATAAAATCATTTCAAGGGGATTTGAAAATGACTCTTGTTATCAAGAGTGACTTGTTATTGGAGGGTCTTGTTATCGAGGTTCTACTCTGTAGTGGTCACCATACTTTTTGAAGTTTGTTTTCTTAAAGGTTGTAAATATAAATTGAAAAGCATTGTATAAAGATTGTATTCAAGCAAGTGTTCTTCATTCAATCATCTCAAAACATTGCCAGAAGTTCGTTCTTTTCGGTCGTTTATTGCTCGTTTTAATTTTCTTCAAATACCAGGCAATAGGCCTATTTGAGAATGCATTCTGAAATTTTCCTAAATAGGACACTGTAAATGAGGTATTTTACGGTATTGTAAAAGGAAAACACAAAAAACTACTTAAGGCTTACTTACTAGGGCAATTTTATACTCCAAGTTGTTGCAAACACAACAATCAATAAAACAAAAGTGTGTTGCCAACACTATGATAAAAAAAATATTTCAAAGTAAATAATAAGAAATCATGTTCATAAAAGCCTATTTAGATAAAAATATTGATTTGAGAATACCTAGTTATTTAAAACTACAGAATTATATAGTTGTTTTGTTTTAATTTCCAATAACATAAGATAAATGTTATTTGTTATAACCTTATTTAACTACATAAATCAAATCTGTAAAATACTGTACCACCTATTCGATCAGAGTGGTCATTTCTAAATTGCGACTTAAATCTTTCTCTGCCCAGTGGTCATCATCTAATTTTTTCCTTTGTTCTATGTTTAGGTCGTGAATTGATTTGAACATATGCTATGATTCTTTGTTTTGTTACATTTACGTCGCTATTTTGTATCCATCATGGCAACCCATAAGGCTAATGTTAAAATTTTAAAACTTTGAGTTACTTTTAAATTATATAGGCATTATCAAAAATTGAAATTTGTTATCAAACCAAAACCATCTAACCAATCTAAACCATCAACCATATAAACCTTCTAAACATTTTGTCAAAACTAGTAAGTTTGCCTAAAATATGTTCAGCCGTTATTGAATTAATGTGTTGGATTTGAAGTCGATCCCAAACAGCTTCGCTTTGCTCCGCTTGATAAAAAAATAGTTGTAAAAACGTGAGTTTTCTTTATATTGCTTTTACAATCGAAATAAACTATACCTCGGTCCCTCAGTACTTCTGTTTAATACATGATATTTTTTACTAAATCTAATTAATGAGATCACTTGTGAGCTATAGCAAATAATGTTATTAGCCTACCCATTTACTTAGTCAGCAACAAAAATAAGGTAGAAAATAGAATGTTAGACACAAGCGCATTCTATGACTGGCTCACACAACTATGTTAATTTTTGACAAAAAAAATTGGCAACAGCTGTCCCAATAGATGGGACGTCTACTTCAGTATCCAATAGTCAATGATACAAAATATTATCAAAATCTGACAACGTGTGTGGTCTGTAGCTCTGTACACATCCACACAAACAGACATTTGCACACGCACGCACAAACACAGACATCCCTTTGAAAACCACTTTTTTTTATTCAACACGAATATATCCACTCAAAACTCAATCTTGAAGAATTTGACGAAAGCAATACTTTCCCTTTATGAACTTTATGAGAAACTAAAATTCAAAACTTTATTGCTATCTAAAAGTTTACCATGGATTTTAATACAATAGTTTTTTCAAAGTCCAATCATAGGGCAGGCAGATTTGGAACACATAGTAATTTGATGATTCCTGGTCATAACAGGAAATAAGCTGTACATCCTACATACACACCACACACCAGAGAAAAAGTATACTTATTCCCTTATCTGTTCTAAAACACAGTTTAGTGTATGGCCGTGTCCGCTTGCACAAGTGCAAGTTGTAAGTTTCTTAGTTCAGCTAGGTGACTTCTCCTTCGACCCTTGGCTTCTACCCGACGATTGTCATTGATTCTGAGATACTAGCTGCTGGAGGCCTTGTCTGCATCAGGTGACTGTGTGCTACACTGTTACAGGAGTCACAATGTAGTTGTGTGCTGATATGGACGTCCCCATGGTGAACATCACCATCACGTCAGGGGACTCTTCCGTGGACTCTGGCTTCCACCCCACATCTGACACTGACTCCGAGATACTGGAAGCCTTTTCTAGGTAAGTGAACATTTTGTAATTGGTATTTTAAAGTATCTTTAAGTGGAACATCACTCTTATTTTCACATATTATAACTGCTTCTAATTCCGTAAGCCCAAAATTTTACAATGAAATTGTGAGGTAACGGGAGGTCGTAGAAAGCTGGGAGAGGTCTCATTTTAAAGGTCTGGGCATGAAATTTTGGGGAAAATTATTCATTTTTCTTAATTATGCACCAAAAGGTTGTTACGGAATAAAATAATTCACAATAAAAAAGAATGGGAATCTAGGTCATGTCTGCTTTGTTTACTTTAAAACATATGGTTTAACTTTATTTAAAACATATGGTAATATCATTAATATGTAATATGTACTGTATGTATATTAACCCTGCAGAGAGGTTGAACATACCTATCGACTATATCAATTCAATTACACTATCTGGAATGCCACCACACAAATTAGTTTTAAAAGTTGTTTCAATATTGATGTTCATAAGAAATATGAATCTAGGGTTTGGATTAGTTAATGGAGTACGATTGGTTGTGTTAGGTATGTCTGAAAAAGGTGTAAAGTTAGTAGTAATTACTGAAGTAAGCAAAGGGAACATATTTTTCATGCCAAAAATAATAACTTATAATATGGTATGTAATAACTATTATACATATTATAATATTAAAAATGTTAAACGATAATCAAGGTAGGGTGATCCATGAGACTAATAATTTGTATAAAATAATTACTAGATATATACATAGGGGCTATTGCCCCTACAAGCCACTAGTTTTAAAGTAAGTTATTAGTCTGAATATATCCTCATACCCTTTTTGTAGGCACACATAGAAAGGTCCTGTATGGTTTTATAATGCAATACTGTATGTAATTTTTGCACCAATTAACAGTACTAAAATCTGATGAAAAGGATATTTTTTGAACACATTTTCCGTAAGGAGAATCATAACCATAGTATGAATATGAACGGACTACAAATAGTACTGGCAAAGGTTTTGCCATAATAGGGCCTATACAGCAAGCAACTGGTTTCTGGTTTACTCTTAGACAAGAAAGTAGTACTTTAGTTGTTTAAAAAAATGTTTGGTGAAATCAGTTTGAGCTCACTAAATTTATAGAGCTTTGTTATGGTATATACTTTTTCAAAAAGGAATAACTTGGTTATGATTTTTTCAACGGGCTCTCAAAGAAACTACAATAAATAAGCCATTAATATTAATAACAAATCACATTGCACTTCCACAATAAATATACCCCGTGCCATCGCCCGGATTAGAATAAAGGACCACAGTATACCCCATCTTGTCATAAGAAACGACCAACAGGGGTTGGGAGATCCCTCTCTCAATTTTCCCAATTTTCTCTTAGGCCAAGTTTCCTTCTTTTATCTCTGGCTTGGTACTCGAAATCTTTAGTTTTTCCTTCTATTCTTCTTCTTTCAAACCCGTCTCAGGGGAGGTTTCCTCCTCCTTTTTTTGACTGGTGTGACTATTGAGCCCTGGGAGTGCCCTCTTCTAGTGAAGAGGGACTGATTTGTGCCTTGCGATGCTAAAGTGACTTTTTGGTGCGTCATCAGAAACCAGCCCCCTTGGGCCCTAGTCCCAGAGTGTGGAATGGGTGCACGGGTGACCTTGTCATGTCAGGGTTTAAGGTACTGGGCAATCGGAGGCCGGGCCCCGGGAACCTGTGTTAGAGGCTTTGTACCTGAGGGCGCACCTTTTGCTGGTTATACCAGGCCGCCCCATGCCGCACAATACGCTGGTTTAAAGTTTTATGGAATACTCAACTTCATGAAGCACGGAGTGCATGCTTGGCAAGCAGTTAGAAGGGGCAGCATTTCAGATGGGAGTGCTTGTCTGTAGATCACCCTACCCCATGACCCAAAAAAACACCGTGGTCACCTTTGCTATGTAAGTAGGTAAGAGGGCAACTACCTTCTCACCCTCTGACGTCAGCCTTCAAGGCTAGTGAAGAGTTGTCGGAGGATTAACACTGCTGTCGGAGAGCTCAGAGGTGTTTTTTCTGCTTCAGAAATATCTTGACGCAGAGAGTACTATAAAAAGGTGGAGGAGAAACATGGAGGAGACAGTAAAAGCAAAATGCTGGATATCTTCTGTGCTGGATCTAGATAGGTGTTAACCAAGTGGTCAAAAATGGCATGGCCTTAGTTTTGTCTTTATCTGCTGGCTAGTTAGCAAGGTGGTCAGAAAGAAAATTGCGGAGAAGGTATCCCTTCTGGTACAGACAGAATGCAATATTCTAAGAAACAAAGGCGGCTCTCTCCCTTGGAAAGTCCTAAAAAAATAAAAGGTCGTACAAAAGGTGCTACTCGGATAATTTTGCTGCAACAGCGAAGCTTCGACAGCCACAGCAACCTCGAACAGAAGAGAGGTTAGTTGATAAGCTTAGGCAGGAGATGGCTGCATCGGGGAGCTTCACACCTGCGTGATCGGCTAGCACTGGTGAACTTCGGCAGGATAACGCTCCAGAAACAATCTCCAAGCATCCATCATAACTTCCGTTCCCCCTCAGAACATTGTACCTCACTTCGATGGCAAGACCCCCTGGGAGGACTACATGATCCTCTTCGAGACAGTGGCTATAGTCCATGGGTAGACCGAGGAAACAAAGGCTTCAACACTGTGTCTTGCTCTACGAGGTGATGCGTTAGCTGTTCTGCATACTATGCCAATGGCGGAAAGGAAGAGCTTCACGGAACTAGTTAGGAGATTGAACAGGCGCTTTGGGCATCCACACTGGACCAGCTTTACCGATCACAGCTGCAGAACCGGATCCAGAAACCCAGCGAGTCACTCCAGGAGTTTGAAGCCGACATTGCTCGCCAGGTGGAAGCTTTTATTGTAAAGAAGATTGTAAGCCCGCAACAAAGGGTATAGCAGCTCATTATTATATCAAGCAGTTTTGTGATTGTATGTTTGCTGTATAGCACATGTTGTTTTACTTACCCAGTATATTTGTTTTTGGTAGTGTGGCAAAAGTATCGTAATTTGACTCACCCGGGAAGCTAACACCAACAAAACCAACAATGCTAACACCGTAAACAACTACTTCCTGGCCTTACATTGCAACACTAATAATGTAGAAGCCTACCCAATAATTTAAATCATATTATTATTTTTTCATGAATATTTTCTATTTTGTAGCTTACATTGTTAGTTATATTTTATAAACTAGTTACAAGAGAGTTCCTGTGGTTTTAGCGAATTTCCCATATAGGGAATAAGCTATTACCGTAGTACTCATGGTAAGACCTGGACGCGGGACCGATTTTTTTTTTTTCGTTTTGAGGTCCCTAGAAGCCAAAAACACCATCCGTTCAAATTCATATATATATATATTTATATATTTATATATATATATATATATATATATGTGTCCGTTAGCACGATAACTCGAGCAAAAATGATCCGATTTTGATGAAATTTGGTACAAACGTGTAAACCTACGTTTATTTGAACGAGTTCGCGATCCAGCATGATCGGACCATGGGAACGGGGGTTTACGGGGGGTTTTATGGGGTAAAAATAGGTTTTTCCCATTTTTGACCCAAAAAACATAAAATTTAGCAATTTCTTTCCAAACCATTTTGTAGAGCTTAAAAAAACAAATAATTTAGTATATTGAAGCGTTATTATGCGCCTAATGGTTACGGAGAAAATTCCAAAAAATTGTAAATTTAAAATTCCCATGTTATTCTTATGGAGAATAAGTAAACTGTTGTAGTTTGCTTTTTTATGAACATATTTTGATCAAATTTGGAAAATGTTTTTATTTCTTACTAACTATTAACATTTTACAAAAAAAAAAAACAGTTTTACCCTCCCTGATGCAGCAAACCTAAGTACTTGTTAAACTAATTCTATTTGAATAGGGAATAAATGTTATATTTTTAAGTAGACATTTCAGTGTAAATCCAATCAGGCAAATGGAAATTCGCTTAGTCTGCAGGTTTGCTGCGGCGGGGGTATTGTACTAATATTATAGTGAAATACTCACTATATTATGCTCTGTTCCAGCAAACCATTGTCACCAAACCTGACAAAACTTTACAACCATGAAAGTGACAATCTTGTAGAGGAAGTATACTTTGCTGAAGACTCTTTGTGTAATCTAGAGGGTAAGTGGGCTTTAAAATATTAAATGACTTTAATGAAATGTACATCATAATAATGTATGTTTATAAAATGTGTATTTAAAAATCAGTAAACCAGTATACAAATAGAGTTTGGGTTTGTACAGTTCCCTTCAAAATAAATTTTTAAATAATCGATGGCGTGAATAACACCATACTAATAAAAATAAACGGTTTCAGCAATCTGACATGTACTTTCTCTCATTACCTAGTCAACAACCCTTATAACCCACCCCCTACTTACAACCCCTGCTCATGGGCAAGCTGTGGAAATAACTATGATATTTAATAGGCAAAATCACAAAAGTTGCAATAGCCTTTGAACTGTAATTCTTACAGCGATGGGGGTTGTACAAATTTGTTTAGTGTTAAAAGGACTATATCACACTAAATTTGAGCTAAAGTCTTTCGAGTCACTTCTTAGAAAATGTTATTTCCCCGTTATTTGATGAAAAAATGACAAAAGTTGCAATAAATTTCACACTGTAGTTTTTACAGCAATGCGGGTTGTAAAGAATTAACAGGACATTTCAATCAAAATCTTTTGTGTCATTTTATTTATCTGATTTTTTGTTGTTTTATGAGTTTTTATCAGGATATGTTTTAATAAATGAATATAATGCCTGGAGATACTATATACATAAATAAGTACCCACATACAAAATGTTGTCAAAGTCAGGCCACAGGTTTGGTCTGTAGCTCTGTACACTGATCATTTTAACTTGAGCAGACATTGATATACTATAACTACCTGAAACCTTGGACCCAGGAGGTACCGGTACTCAGTTCAATCCCTACAAATTTGACGTTGATTCTTAAATAATGCGTTTTTTACTATGTCCGGGGTCACAAAGATCTTACCTACTCAAGAACACAGGACACAACAACAATAACAAAGGTAATCTAATATAATTACATTTCTTGAAACTGGGATGAAAAAAATATATGTTTCACTTCAATAATCAAAATGCCACTAGTATAAACCCAATAAAAAAACAGTATTAATTTTAGGTAGGGATTAGTATTATCAGTTAAAATTTGTTTTGGCGTTTTTTAATATATCAGACATATGTTCTCCCTGCTCTTACTAAATATCTTGATTTCCTATAGGAACTACCAAGTATGTAAACACAGAGGTTAACAGTGAGAGGGACAGTGGAACTTATCATGCTTCACCGTACATAATAGAAGAGGAGGCCAGTTTGAGGAGGAGTGTTGCTAAACTTTGCGAAGACATTAACATTACTAACTCACTGGTCAAGGAGGAGGTCTGCAAAAACTGTGTACCTTCCACAGGATTGAAACCAACCCATTATGTGAAAAATCTCAACCTATATGAACAAAATAATCAGACTCGACACTATGTAAATCAATACGAACTTAAGACTAGAATTAAACAAATCCCGATAAGTGAAAGTGTTGTTGGTGACATAAAGAGTTCAAACATCCAGGTGGTGGTAGCCATTGATCTAGGCTCTACATACAGTGGCTACGCGTACTGTTACACACAACATGAGTTTGACAAAGAAATCCATATGATGAGGAAGTGGGAAGGTATATATATATATATATGGATGTATATATTTTATTACACTCAATCTATGTTAAACTTTGTTTAAATTTTATTGAATATTCACTTCCATTCTAGATATTCATCGGTTTGGGCATCAACTAGACCTCTCAATCTTCTACAGTGTTATCCCTCCTCAAAACTTATGTTACCTACCTAACTCCTCATAATAAATTTTTAACAGATCTGATCTATTCTCTTTAGGTACTTTCACACGGCATGATTTTAATTCTCATTCACCATAAACTCAATTTTCCTGGGTATTCTCTCTTTTCAAATAAATCCAAACTAAAGTCTGCTTTTTCTCCTCTTAAAATCTCCCAAACAACCTCTTCTGATCTCTTTATTCCAAAATTCATCCTATCTTGTTTTACTCTTAACAGCCATAAACAAATTTAATATCTCCAATTTGTATTTTGATACCTTATACTGTAGTTTCTTAGCGAGTTCCCCAATAGGGAATAAGCCTTAATAATATCAAAATCAAGTTTGATTTAGGTGGTTTTAAATCCATTCAAATTATTCATTGTATCATTTTGTATACTCTTCTATTATTCTACATTATTCTATACAAATTATTCTACATATCTATACATTATATAAATATTTATATAATTACAAATCAGGTTTTTTGATAAAATGCAGGACTTTTATCAGTAACCAAATATAATTTGCAGTCATCCTGATACTTTGTCCATTATTTTAAGATACCGTAGAATAATTTTGTTTATAACTAAACAGTTTATATTTCCATCTTAGATTGTTAGAAGTAGAAATATTTTATGTAAAAGGACAAACATTATTATGCACATCAATAAATAACTAAAAAGCTAAAACTACAATGTTGGTTTGTGTAAAGTAGTATTTGGCGTAGTTGAAATTAGATTCCCAACAACAATCCTAATAATAGTATTTATGTACGATCAATAATGATTCAATACTTCCACTATGATAATGCATGGCAGTACTAATATAAAACTAATGGTCATGTATTTATTTCACTTCTGTTCTCAATGTATTACCGTATTGATAAGTGTGGAAGATATTTTCAGACCAAACTAGGAATGGTGTTATTGAATGAAAAATGTTTAATATTATGTTTATAACTAAACAGTTTATATTTCCATCTTAGATTGTTAGAAGTAGAAATATTTTATGTAAAAGGACAAACATTATTATGCACATCAATAAATAACTAAAAAGCTAAAACTACAATGTTGGTTTGTGTAAAGTAGTATTTGGCGTAGTTGAAATTAGATTCCCAACAACAATCCTAATAATAGTATTTATGTACGATCAATAATGATTCAATACTTCCACTATGATAATGCATGGCAGTACTAATATAAAACTAATGGTCATGTATTTATTTCACTTCTGTTCTCAATGTATTACCGTATTGATAAGTGTGGAAGATATTTTCAGACCAAACTAGGAATGGTGTTATTGAATGAAAAATGTTTAATATTATGTTTGAAATACATTTAAAATGTTATTACTAACTGTAAAACATCCCAAACTTGTTAGTTTCTTTTGGAATAAATTTGCATATTGTATAAAAGGTAGTTTTATAACGAAAAAACAAGCCCATGGGGCGTAGCCCAAGGGAAATATGAAAATTAAATTATATAATATTGCATTGTCTTCCATTTGTGAGCTATGTTTCAAGTTTCAAGTCTCTAGCTCATCGGGAAGTGGGTATAAAATTGATTGCAAAATTTGTACCGGACAAGAAAGCGAGCTAATAAAAACGTTTTAATAATATTTTGACTTGTAAGAATTTTTTTAACATAAGCTTATCCTTGGCAAGATGTTTTAAAATCTAAATTTATTTTGTGATGTAAAAGTAAATTTTTTAAATATTTCTTTAAGGTGGTGATCCAGGCTTAAATAACCAAAAAATACCAACAACGCTGTTGGTTTCTCCAGAAGGTTTATTTCATTCGTTTGGACTTGCAGCAAGAGACTGTTATCATGATCTAGAGCCGCAAGATGCCAGTAGATGGTTTTATTTCGACAAATTCAAGAAAACACTACATAGTAATTCTGTAAGTCTTTGTTACTCCTGACTTTATGATTGTCATATTTAGGGCACTAGTCAATTCAAATAGAATTGCATCTGCTTGTGCAAAAGAATAATAAACTGTACAGAGATACTATAACTTCAAAGCTGAATAATTAAAACGTTCATTCACATATTTGACATATTCACACATTCAAATAATATAATTTTTTTCACCCCTTTTCAGCAGCACAAGATGATTTTACAACCTTTTGTATAGCTATTCTTGTTACAGTTGTGACTTAGGAATCTTACAACATATAAATCCTGAAAGTATTTATTTTCTAGGCCTGCCCTTTTTGTTTTCAGAATGTGAGTCCAAACACGAAGGTGACAGCAGCGAATGGCAAGAGTTTCCCAGCAGTTGAGATATTTGCGATGGCATTGCACCATCTCCGTGGTCTTGCTCTGGCTGAGCTGCAGGACCAGGGAGGGGAGGTGGGGATTGAGGGGGTGCGATGGGTTGTCACAGTCCCGGCACTCTGGGGACACGGAGCCAAGCAACTCGTACGAGAAGCGGCCTACAAGGTACGAGTCATCAGAAGGGAGGATGAAAACCACACGGAAGGGATGTGGTTATAAATAATATAATACAGCCCCTTTAAAAACAACCTCCCGTTCCTTCCATAATTACTGCCATTATAGCTACCTATATGGACTTTATTACATTTATGCTATAAAATCCAGGTGAATAGGTTATTTGAGCAGTCTTCTTTTCACTTTACCTTAATACACTTTTTATGTTGCAGTATATATTTAATTTACTGGACAAGTTCTCATGAAACAATTCTGATATAAGCTTCTGGTTCACTATAGATTAGACTCATTGCAAATAAAAGTTTTGAACCATTGATAAAGCATTACCATTTGATATTTGCCTTAGCTTGGCGTTTTTAAGTAACTTGTATAAAAGATACTTAAAAACTGATAATTTTACTACCACTAATCAAAAACTTCATTCAAGAAAAATAATTCTAATTGCCAGGTTTTGTTTGTACATGCGTAGATTAACAAAAAACTTCCCATCCAAGAAATTACAATTAAATATTCTACAGCTTTTAACTTTCACCTAAAAAACTGATAGAACATAAATAGTGGACATCAATTTGAAGAGCTTAGTACGCATATTATAGTACACCAGGTTGTTTTCTTAGCTTTATAACAAGTGCATTTCTAAACTCACATGGATCAGTAATAAATGGCAGTTACTTTTAGTTAGGTAATGACACATTTTTTAGCTTGGAATTTGTACCCAATCCCTTGACAATTGGATCACTTTATTAAGATTAAGAGAGCACTAAGGGGGGTTACCTTCCGGCAATTGACTAATGCCATTAGGCTATAATTAATTAAATTAAAGAGAATTAATCACCAATATATTGTTTAGTGCATACCAATACCCTAGACAAAAATAATTTTTGTCTATGGCAATACTCACTTGAACCAAACGATTCTAGGCAGGAATCTGTTCATCAGATTCTCCACAATCTTTGGTTATTGCTTTGGAGCCAGAGGCAGCAGCTGTTTGGTGTAAGAACCTGAGGTTTGATCAGATCGAGGGGAAACAACTGTGTAAAGGACATTACCAGCAAAGTAGTCAAGGTGATAATAATATACACCTATTATGGTATTCATTATGGTATTATGGTTCTTGTACATAGGTACGTTTAGAATAAATATTAGGTTTAAGTGTTTCATTTCATAAATCTCAGTAGTTGCAGTTATGTGCATGATTTGTGTAAAACAAATAGAGACAATATGCTTAGTGGAGATTCAGTTTGACATAAAACAATTGTATTTTTGTTCTTGCACCTAATATCATGCTTCAAAATTCATCATTTAAATAAAGTATAGTTTACATCTCCCTTTTTCGAACACCTCCAAAATAAACCAGTCAAGATTTAAAAGGGTTCATATTATACACAAAAAAAGAAAGAGTAAATTAAACAAGTCAAAATTAAAAGAGAGATAAATTAACAATGCTAGTCAAAGAAACAATATTACGAGGAAGCAATGCACTTGGAACCAGCAATGTTGACATTTTAATTTTTGTATTGTTGCATTGTTGCGGCCATGTGGGGATTTTGCAATATACTTTTTCTCTCTCTCTCTCACACAATGATCAGCTGGCCTGCTAATGAATACTGAACAGTACTATATACAATAGTGTAATAAGTAGGTCTGTAGCTATGAATTTACCAAACTGCACTTTAGATGAACTTTAAAGTGACTTTTATAAGCAGCCAGTGTGAGTAGCTATGTAGGAACTACACTTTAACCCTTCCCAGACGGGCGAAATCGTGACATAGAACTGGAAAAATTATTGGAAAAAATTAAAATTAATTTTCCTTATTTGTGTTTTGTTATAGGTACAGTACTGTACAAGTAGGCCTATGATAAAATAAAACACAATGGAACACTTCATACGGTCAATATAATTTTGTACTCGTTTTTAACTATGCGGATATATCCGCCACCCGTCTTTGAAGATATGACCATGATAATGCTAGGCAATAAATAAAGAACAATATGTAAACAACAAATAAAGACAGCGTACTGTTGAGCACGAAACGTCAAGGGGGGAGCGTAAGAGAGGTGGGTGGTGCACGGGAGAGGGGTAGGCTTGTGAGAGTGGGGGGTGTTCGGGAGAGAGTGCAGCAGCGCAGCCATGGAGAGAGCAGGAAAGTGGCACCACCGCGAAACATCTGGTTACTGCTCAAGCACCTGCCAGTCTGTCTGAAGAGAAGGCGGATATATCCGCTTCCCGTCCGGAACATCAAAAACCATAAGCAGATATATCCCCCACCTGTCCTTTATCGCCAAAGACTTAGGCGGATATATCCGTCACCCGTCTGTGAAGGGTTAAGTCCTCTATATTGCCAAAAGTCAGGACAAAATGGATCCCAATGAGAGGAACTCTGTTCTATAAGTATTTTAAGACCAATACAATTTTGAAACAATTATATACAAAGTTGAGTCTAAATTTACCATTTGATGATTGGTAAGAATAGTACTCTCCTGAATGGATTACAAGTCCGTGTTATAACAGGTTACGTAGTTAGACGTCCACAATTCTTCAGTCGAACTTCCGTTGACTAGTTTCGACTACTAAGTAATCATTTTCAAAACTTGTATAGGAACTTGCTTCATCATCGTGGACTGTGGAGGAGGCACTGTTGATGTTACTGTGCATAAGCTCCATCATCCCAAGGGACCACTCAAGGAACTTTACAAAGCATCTGGGGAGCCTTGTGGATCACTAGGTGAGCTTCACTTAGTAAATACATGCAAGTGTGTTGGTATTATATCAATTAAAATAGTTGGGTCCTGGGTAGCTGAATGGATGGAGCTTGGCTGGCAGTTAAACCATTCTTCTGAGAATAGCACTATTTTATATTAAAATGGTATACATACATGCTACTAAGCAATCCATTCAATTCCAGTTGCAACTATTTTCAGCCATATTATCAGGGGGTCGTGTTTAAATGTTTATTTATTTTTATGTGCTAAATATGACACTCTTCATATGAAGAAATAAAACATCGTTTACCGCTGCCTGATAATTGCTCCACATAGGAACCGAAACTAGCTGGGACTCTACAATTGAATAGATGGCTTAATAGCAGGTACCTCTTTAAACCTTTTTAATAAATATTATTGAAGATTTAGTGGCTAAAACCTACAACAAAGCCTTTTGATGGTTTGAAGTTGGGCCCTCGAATCCTTGGGCTTTTGATAAATGGACCTGGCTGTAGATTCAGCTGTAAAGCTATCTCATGCGTTCAACTCTCTCAGCTTCTCCTTAAAATACACGACCCTGGACACCATGGTGTTCATCATCCTATAAATATAATGTAAACCAAACTTAGTATCAATCAGCTTAACACACTACGGTATCATCTAATACAGTATTATTAGCATACAAATCAGATTTTACATCTGTGGATGGTGAATTCTTGATTGCAGTGTTAAATGCGTTAGCAGTAGTTTACGTAACGATTGCGTAAACATAGTGACATTTACACTATTCACGCAAGTTGCGTACACTACTTTACCTACGACAGTGTTTTAGTTACAAAAAATCACTAGGTTACTCATAACTTATAAGAGTGGTTATGTTTTCGTTAATAACCTCTCATTGCTACTGACAGTGATGCAACAAAACATTGTACCAAACACTAATTTTACCACTCAACAAATAAATTGGCCTGAACAGCTGATTAGTTGAAGTTAAAATCATTATAATTTTCCTACAGTTACCTAACAATGTACATGTTCTCTCTCTCTTCTCTCACTGATTTGAGAAAGCAAAGTGGCCAATTCGCCCATCAATGAGACAATGTTAACATTGTCTCACTCTAATTACTTTGTCTCACTCCAGATTTGCAACGTGAAGACACAAAATAGTGAGAGCGTAACATGCAGGCAACGTCGTATGCGCGCGAAATAGGTTGGCAGCACTGGCTGTAAATCAGCTGGTCAGCTGTTGTACTGTTATGTTTGTCACTTCATTGAGCGGAGCGAAGCGAAGCGAGCGAAGCTCTTATACTACACTCCTGCTTTTGTTTTACAAATACTCCTCCTGAACGGCCTGAAGCGATATGCACCAAATTTAGCACAGTCATGGTAACCGACCATGGGAAGGTATAAATCTGAAATGGTATAAATCGGACCACAGGGATTTTCTCTACGTGAATTCAAACTTTTGGAAATTTAACATGGGCCTTATGGGTTAATTGGTTGCCATGACATTATTTGCGAGATAACAATAAAAAGGTAAACAAGAGTCGCAACTCGCAACATATGTTAGTCAAATAGCACATTACAAATACCTTACAGATAAAAAGGGAAGAACTTGATATTATTTAGGGGATTAATATCATTGAGCATAATTTACTACAAAATGAATAACCAATTATGGTCGCCGAAATAAGGCTGATGCACCGTTGACTTTAAATAATCCAAATAGCCATTCCATTTATGCGAACCAAATCTAGGCTTACAATTGAGTTTGGATACTGCAAGTAGACTTTCCATTGACGTGAACCAGGCGTACCATTGACTTTGGATACTACAAATAGACACTCATTTATGTGAATCAAATGAACCATTGCTTTGGATCCTGCAAGTAGACAATTCATTTACGTGAACCAAATATACCATTGTGTTTGGATACTGCAAGTAAACAATTCGTTTACGTGAACCAAATGTACCATTGACTTTGGATAATGCAAACAGGCATTTTATTCATGGGAACCAAATGTATCATTGACGAATACTGTAGTTAGAAATTTAATATATGAGAACCAGATAAAATATAGAATTTGGTTCCTGCAAGTAGACAATTCATTTACGTGAACCAGACTTATGATTGACTTAGAATACTGCAAATAGACATTCCATTTAAGTGAACCAAATGTATCATTGGCATTGGGCACTTAAAGTATTTAATCTCATTTACGAGGAAGAGATTGACTTTAGAAAAGTATTGAATTAATACAAGGTGGCCATGATTAATACGCTGGCTCCGCTCAATATTGCAAGCAGACAACTGCATTGTACACCTAGTGTTAAATGTTATATTAAAAGTTCACTTCTGTGTAAAAATAGGTTATGTTTCTTCACCAATTTATTTGTTTTATGGTAACTGTAGGAAAAGTATAATGTACAACTCGACTTCAAAGTACAATTGCCTCACTCGAGAAACCATTCCTAAAGGATTGGAACCATTGTAAGGATTTCTCTCGAGTGAGTCAATAGCTCACTTTTCTCACTAGTTGCACAAATAACTATTTCCTTATCTCTCAATCCTTAAACCTCATTGGTCCGTTACCCATGTTGTTATGAGTAAAATAATTATGCTGTTATGAAAGTAAACAATGATGTTATGTGAAACTTGTCAATTCTAAGAACTGAACTGAAACAGCTACTTTAAAAAACGGTCGTAGGTAAACTTATTAATTATTCGAATCCAACCAAGTCCTACAAAATGAATATAACACATGCATTTGCAAATTTTGTAAAGTAAATGATTGCCATAAAAACTTCATGATCTGAAAATCTCTGTGTTTTTCAGGAATAGATGAAGAATTTGACAAACTACTAGGAACTGTGTTTGGGTTTTCATTCATGAGTCAACTAAGAACTGACCGCCCAGCTGCCTACATGGAACTAATGTTAAGTTTTGAATCTCGGAAGCGAAGTCTCCTTCCATCTCGCGCATCCCCTCTGAATGTCTCTCTCCCATTTGCATTTATTGACTTCTTTGAAAAAGTAACAGGAAAAAAGGTGTGTCTTTGTTTGTTTGTTAAATTTTACAAAATTATTAATTATAAAAAAATAATATTTTTGTATATGACTTTAATCATTCCATTTTCAAATGAGTTTGCAAGGTACAAAAGTGAAAATTATTATAATCTAAGGCTTACCTTACGATCCAATTAATTTATTGTGGAGACCTAGGTTTCTACGCCGGAGCGTTATCGTCAGTCCTAGGCTAAGCTAAACTTTTTGTGTTTCATCTCTTACTTGAGATATTGTCGGTTGAATAGAATATTTAAAAATATAAACACTGATTATACATAAATATTTACAAAGACAAAGTGGAGAAGTTAGATGCATGGCCATGATCTTGTCAATCCTAACCTCCAAAAGTTGAGATGTGATAAGGATGATTTAGTGACTTCAAATTTTTTGCATGGTTGTTATCACTCCATAGAGTAATGTATTTTTGCGAAAAGTGAAAAGCTTTAACTGAGGTAATATGCACCTCCCTTAGAGCACTGCACTTAATTTCATTGTATGAGCCTATTAAATGCTTACAATGTGTTTTTAGTGAATGTTTGATTTGAATACTTTACCAAATAAACATTATATAAATAGTTTTGACTCAGTAACAAACATTTCATAAACAATTTGTCAACAGCTTTGAAAAGTGCTGCCCTCTACACATTCCTAGTCACAGTCGAATATATAGAGATTATCCTATTGAATTGTATTTCTCACAAAGCTTACAATTCATTAAAGGTATGGTTTTACAAAGCCACAGTAAAATATGACTATGGCTTTCACTTGATGATAAGTTAATGGGTTTTATTCTCCCTGACTTGGGTTGCTCGTATTTTGATGAACTTGTTTAATAGAAAACTAATCAATTGATTCATTCTCAACTGTAACTAGGATTGCTTTCATAGCAGTGAACGCCAGTTGAGCTGAGCAATCAAGTTTCATAGGTTTTAATAAAGCAATAAATGAAAAAAAATGTTTATAGATATAATAGAAAATACAAATGTCCCCACACTCCGCACTGCTAGCCTTTACTATTTCCTTCACCACTTCCTGGAAGGTCGTGGACCATTTTTAATTTTCAAAACACTAAAATTAAGATTTAATTTGAATTATTATGTAATAATTATCTAAATCTTAAGGTGGAAGAGAGGTTGAAGGGTTATAACAACCCACAGCTTTCATGGTCACCACAGGGTATGCTACGCATCAGTCCAGAGTTGATGAAGGAGTTATTCAAATCAACTGTAGAAAACATTGTTAAGGTATGAAATTGAACTATGTTTCATTTACATTCATAATTTAGTGCACATATAGAGTTTCAGATATCAAGTGTAATGGCAAAACTGTATTATAAAACCCCAGGTGTAATTTTTGAATATTTGGATAGTACTTTTTGATAATGATACTGTAGTAAACTACTTTGCCCTTGACCATGGATCCAAAGTCAATTGTATTACTGTATTAAAGCAATATAGTGTGACCAACCTCACAAAGTCTGCACTACCAAGGCTGATGCAATGCTTTGACTTAGAAAATTTATTATTGGTGCTGTCCCGTCTATCAAATCATCATCCTGAAATACTCATCAACAAAACCCATTTCAAGTTGAAGCAGCAAGTCAAAACTTCCTCTTAAAAACATCAGAAAACTACTTTTTAAATCCGTACACCTGACATCTTAACCTGTTTTGAAAACTATCATTATGCTTAGGTATTCTTAAAATCTGGTAACAGATGCACCTGCAGCTGAGCTATGAATGAGGTATTATTGGGTAGATAAATTAACTTAATTTTATCTTTTATATTTTTATAAATCTCAGATTTGGATATATTTTTTCCAGCATGTGGAGGGGGTCCTAACCACACCAGAAGTTGCAGGATCAATGAAATATGTATTTCTTGTTGGAGGCTTTGCTGAGTCACTTTTTCTCCAAGATGCAATCAGGAAAAAACTTACAGATCTTAACATACCACCTCCAATTATTCCTCAGGTTAAATTTTACTAAACTAGTATTGTATGTAAGTCAACTAGACATTCCATCCCCATGTTAAATTTGTATTCAGATTTGTATCAAAATCGTCATAGTTGATGTGAGCCACCTACAGCTCCCTGTAGCAGCAGCAAACCTAGATAGGCTACTTGTAAAACCTAATGCTATTTAAATAGATTTAATTGAAAATCCAATTACGCAAATGGAAATTCGCATAGTCTGCAGGTTTGCTGCCGCAGCGGTATTAAACATTTACGACAGATTTTTTTCCTTCAAGAAGATGATATAGGTAGATCAATGAGTGTTGTAAACAATTTGTCTAAAGCGCTTGTTTTCAAGTCACATTTACAATGAAGTTTACAACCAAATACTTAATACTTTGAATACCATTCTAGTCTTGAGTAGTGTTCACACGAAGCCAGCTGGCAGGCAGGTTACCTGCCTACGTAACTATTATAAGTGCATGAACTGCTTCAATGTAAATGGTGTTTAAACTGTATTGAAGCATGAAAATAAAATAAAATAAAAAAAAAACTTAAAATACACTAGAGGCAGGGAACCTGCTCTGTAAACTGCCTGCTTACTGGCGTTGTAAACACACCTTTAAAGCAAAAAGTGTTTCAGAAGTAAATTGGATTCCAAAGACCTTCGATCATATTGATTACTATTATACTACTTTACCGTTATAGGTGTGTTGATAAAATTGCCTTACCAAACAAAAATTATCTACTCCTTTGTGCAATGAATATGGGGATAGAGTGAATACAAAATTAACAGACTTATGAAATGTGATTTGTAATAATGCATTCCTCACTTAAATTAAATTTGATATTGTTTTTTTAAGGGAGTGGCCCTATGTGTTTTGAAAGGAGCCGTTATGTATGGTCTCATCCCACAAGTAGTACTCATGCGCAAGGCTCAGCACACCTATGGGATTGGAGTTTTGAAGCCCTTCCAGAAAGAGAATCATCCTATTGGTGAGTACAAATTAACAGATAATCAAGTATATAACTTTCTATGTGACAGTGGTCCTGGGTAGCCTAGTGATTTTAACGCTTGCCTTAAAATCAGAGGGTCCCTGTTAGATTCCAAGGGAGATCTCTAACAGATTCAGATGAACTTTTTTATTTGGCTATAAATTAATGATGCTTTCTGACAAGAGATTGAAGTTAGATTATTACAAAATCTGGGATTAGGTTGCAACAAAATCAAGAGTTGAGTAAATATTAGAAAAATTAATTATAAGTTTCACCTAATATCATAAGTTCATAAGTACATAAGTTTCATTCCGGCTATCAGCGTATACTGGCTGTTTCTAGAAAAGTTAGTGCTGAGAGACAACAGAGAGTGGTGTGCTGATGTGTTTGACGTGTTGGTCACCATCAACCAGAACCTGTACGCTGGAGAGTCTGTACTGAGGAGGTACACTCCTGCTAACCCCAGCCAGAATGTTATCATCCTTCATATCTACCACACAGACCTTGCACAGCCGAAGGTAACAATTAGTTCTGATACTACAGTAGAACCTCGATAGTAAGGGGTGTCGAACTATAGGGAAATGGAGTTTAATATACAGGAAAGTAAAAATACAAGTTTTATATATAAATCACCAAAATTTTATGAATATTAAAAATCTTAACAATTTCACAGTTTTTTTGTTCTCAAGTCAACAATAAATGGCAAATTAATGTTCAAGTCATCTTACATTACAATAGTAACCATTAAATATCACTTGACAAAACATTTTGTGATCTTTGATTGTTTTTCACTCTGATAACTGGAAAGTACTGGTCCTGGTCATTGACCGGCGTACGTGTCAAAACAAAATATCGATCGCTAATGTTAAGGACAGGTAGCCCCAGCCCGTGTCAAACTACAAGGAGTGTCAAACCATCGAGTGTCAAACTATTGAAGGTTTACTACCAACAACTAGTTAGGAATATTTAACTTATTGCTCTTGGATTTAACTTCCTAAATGGTGTACGTGTTTAATGTCAACATTTTTGGTTTAACAAAAATTGGTATGTCACAAAATTTATGTTACTTAGATCTACTAGTATTTTTAGTTCTGCTATATTGTACTTCTAATTATAATATGGTTTGGTTTATCACTATGGATAAGAATGGGAAAGATTTACTTGCAAAACTGAAATTTTGTCACATCAACTGTGTAGAACCCAGACTTATAGAAATTCGAACACTATACAGATATCTGGAGAAGGACTTTTTCAGTAGTTATTTTACAATTTTTGTGATTTGCTGCCGCAACGGACTACAAAAATTGATAATAATGTCATATGATCGTGTCCTGGTACAACCACCAATTGACCAATACATAATTTATCAGTAAGGCTCATACTGTACATGTACTTGTACATATTAGCTCTCTCTTTGCTTTGCTTGGTATGTCCCATTACACAGGAAAAGATCCATGTGGACGGGCAAATGCAAGGTACCGGTAAGTTTTCTATTGATTTGTTAAGTCCCCTCCAAAAAGGAAAAAAGAGGTTTCCAAAAATTACTTTTGTCATCTGCTGTTTTTGCTCTTAAAATGGGAAAACTATTTCATGTTGATTTAGACAGAGAGAAAAAAAGCAAGAAAGTATGTTAATAAATGTCTGACAATATATACTGTCAAAAATTCAGTGAAGAACCTGGAATTGCTTAGTTGTACTTGTATCTTGTATCAAAACCAAAAATTATAGTTTTAAAAGTGTTCTTTGTTCCAGTTTGTGACTGACGAGGGTGTGCAGAGAATTGGAACATTGAAATTAGACCTGAACTCAGAGCTGGGTAGAGATAAGCCTCGGGAGATTTTGACTCGTTTGATATTCTCAAGCACAGAGCTGACCGTGAGTGCAATGGACCTGGAGACTGCAAGCTACACAGACACCAGTCTCACCTTTATCGGCTGAATGTGAGGACTCTGCAAGAATAGCCAGAAATAGGAAAATTATGATATACTCATCCAATTCTGTATGAGTTCATAGGGTATAGTCAAGTCCGATTATACTGGGATTCCACAAAAGACTAGAGCTTCCTAGAGATTTCCTACAAAACTAGAGCTTAACTTCTTTTTCTCAACATGTGATGATCTACCTGTGTAGGTTGTATCGACCACATAGTGTACCTAGCTTCGTATTACCTTTGACTATTGATTCAACTAGACGGTCCAAGTTAAAGTTGTAGCCCGTTTTTTATCAAAATTGTCGTAGTTGATGTGAGCCACCGACTACAGGTACTGATCTAAATTACAATTAATTTATGTTGAATGTACACAAACTTTTTTACTTAGTCAAACTCATAGAACAGCAACAGTTGACCCATCAACTATGTCCAGCAATAAAAAATAAAGTAGAAAATTGAACTTTAGACACGATCACATTCTGTAACTGGCTCACACAACTATAGTTCGGCCGCTTAGAAAACGACCTGCGCGCTGCTAAACCAATGCTGGAGGAGGTCGCTTTCTAAGCGGCCAACCTAAAAGTTCTTTATTAATAAAAAAAATAGGTCACAGCTGGTCCATATAGATGTGATGTCTACTTTAGTATCCAATAATAAATGGTATTTTTGATAATTTTGCTGAGTTTGTTTATGTTAATCTGAGGACCCACGCTGCTCCGTTTGTTAAAATAAATATCATATCCGAGAAATACTCAAATTTATGATTTTTGATTGAGTAATATACAGTATCTTGACCTTAACTCAAACGATCAATAGCTCAAATTAAAGCCTATAATTTACTGATTATTTTGAGTCTAAACCATATAACAAACCAAAAACAATACTGGAGCTATTGATTTTTAATCATATTGGTTGTTCACCTTGGGTTTGATTGAAACTCGTCCAATTTGAATGACTTTAATAGCTTAAATGATAGCCGGTATTTCACTGAAGGTTCTTATACCAAAATATATAGGATTATATCATTATAACTGGTGAAATAAATCTTAAATTGAAGTAAAAATCCAATAAAAAAAACTCAAATTTATGTGTTTTGGTCGAGTTATACTATGTCGATGCTTGATGTGAAATTTGTGTGTGCATACCTTCAATTTGTGACCCCCACCATTATAGGCAACATGGGGAGCAAATTTTGTTTTGTATAAGCCGAGTAAGACTGTAGATTAATATATGCCGATGCTTGATGTGAAATCTGTGCGTTCATACAATTTGAGACCTCAATCATGAAAATCAGTCGGGTAGAAGAACCAAATGAACTCGGAAAAAAATCAAATTTTTTAAAAAATATTCAAGATATGTACAGTAAATGTCAAATGTTTCTACTGTATTTCATGTCCTCTTCCCGTTGCAAAGCACAGGTACAACATCTATAGTTCGGCCGCTTAGAAAACGACCTGCGCGCTAATGCTAAACCAATGCTGGAGGAGGTCGTTTTCTAAGCGGCCGACCTATAGTTTGATATAACTGAACATTTTTGTCATATTTCCTTTTTGTTAAATAAAAAAAAAATTACCTACGCAAACTGTATTATAGTTGCTAATCTTTATCTATCAAAAAATAAGAATTATGTATGTATGTTGCTACGCACCATAAAGCTTTCTATAGGCTATTCATTAACTTAGGCCTACAAAATTCCTTTGGCTACTAAGTTAGCCCACATTGAACTGAAAGTCATTTTTATTTCTTAATAAAGATAATTCCTAATTTGTGTTTTGTTTCTGTCTAATAAGGTAAGTCTTTGTCTTAATCTTATAATTATGAATTATTTTAAGAATAAATAGATTTGGTAAGTTACAATATAAAATTTATTAATGAAATACAAATATAAGATAAGTTATTGGTTGAATTTAGCTACAGGGTAAGTTAACAATGGTAAATTTTCAAAATGGTGGGGGTTCCAAAGTGGATCAAAAGATTCTAGGCTTATATTGGGCTGGTTTCTTCTAAAGTACTAATTATTAATATTTAAATATGAGCTCTTAATCTCAGGGAGGGGTGGTCGTGCCGGTTCGAATGATATATTAGGCTTCTTTAAAATGTAGATAATTTAATTTAGTTATTATTCTGAAATACTAGGTTCGTGATGCTATTAATATAATAATGTTAAATGTCCAAAGAAAGATTCCAAATGGTTTCACTGAATTTAATGAAATAAAATAGGATTTGAAGATTAAATTTTGAATAAAAGTTCAATTTGATGAGTTAAGTTAATTTGGCCTATTAGGCTATGCTGATTAAATGTCCAATGAAGATTAAATTTGTCCTTAGTTAAATAAGATGGAGATGGTTACCAAATTTGGAGTGTCTGTCTTCTTATAAATTGGTACTAACTCTTCAAGGAAGGCACTTGTCCAACACTTTAGGATGATAAGAAATTTAAAATTTAGGTTATACTTTGTGATTATGAATTTAATTTAAATGAAACACAATGTCCAATAAAATGATGTTCACACTGTGAAGAGTTGGCAGGATCTGGGCAGAGACAATGGTAGAAGCTCAGGAAGTCCATGTCCATTGTTGAAGTGATGTACAGCTGGTTAATTTACATGAATGACACTTGCCACAGTAATTTTGATTTTCTTTGGATAATTTTGAAAAATAATACTATATTTAAGATTTTATTACTATATTGCAATTTTCTTACAATTATATATTATTCTAAATAAATGATTATTGTTGGTTTTTGATAAGTACAGGATAGATATGGAAAGAATTTGCATAAATATTATATTGTAACATAAAATAGGATGATGTTTCTGTGGGGTGATGGGATATTATATAACATTTAACAAAATTGGATAAAATAACACATTAACAAGGAGAAACATATTAAATAACTGATAATACATTATCAGGGGCATTAACAGACATTATGAGAGAAAATATATAAAATAATAGAGAAATTAATGTTAATGATGAATGGATGACATGTAATATTACAATGTATGTATAAACCCTATGGACTCCGAAACCACTTGACAGATTTTAATTAAACTTTCCGGCGTTATTAGGCATTATTCAAGGATGGTTTGTGTGAAGTTTGGTACATATCAAGCAAAAGGGCTCTGCCCCAGAGGGTTTTAAGGGGTCCAATGTCAGACTTTTGGAACTACAATGTTTACAAATACCGTAAATATAATTTAAATCAGATATTTACTTTCATCAACTGTTTTGTAGGTTTAACATTCTGTATTGGTCATGATTTGAAATCGTTCTACAGAATGCAGTACAGACTATTTTACTTTTGGATGAGTCCAAATATATTAAACCCCAATCGCAGCACACCTCACACTCAACAATGTTTAAATTCTCCATGTAAACATAAAACGTAAAAACCTTCATCAAAGTATTATAAACAGTCAAAGGGATGACAATGCCTTGTTATTTTTATCATTTGTTCTAACATAAATTATTAAGTGAATAATAATCGTGGTGCTATCTCAGGTATTCAAAATGCCTCACAATTTATCATTAACCCGCCTCATTACTGTCATTAAAAGAAGAAACTTAAATAATACGAATGCGAAACTTAAATCCACCCAAGCTGTGCAACGGAACCAGAATTTTAAAAATGACATCAAACTTGATCAAAGCAACAAACATCAGTGGTAAAGTTTAAAGGAGAAATAGTCTTAATCCCAAAAATACCAATGATTTCATCCAAATTACCCTTTGAATTCAAGCAAGAAGCAACTACAATTTCCTTTGCGTCTTGCTTTCACAATCACCATTATAAGTGACTATCGCCAGTAAAAAATTTTAAAATGCATGGTTTTCACACGGATGGTTTTTTACGGTATGCTGCGTGCTCATATGGTAGTAGGTACGCCTAAAAACTTATATATTTATACACCCAAAAAACATATTTATATTTAATTTTTTTATAATATATTTGGTATAAATTTTTATTATTTATCGTAAAGAACAAATTCGAGTATCATTTAAAATAATGGTTGTTAGCGCAGCAACGTGCGCCGCCGGGTAACTGCTAGTCTATAATAATAAAAAAATAAAAAACCTGTTGCCTTAGCAAGAAAAATCAAGGTACGGTATGTAATACTGTTTACAGACACAAAATCTTTATTATATTGAATTTTAGCCTCCTGATCACATTTAAATACTAAATAATGGTGTAAATACCTGCATTGATGTGATCAATGTGTTGTGTTGCTAAATTGCAACCGGTTTCGACTCACAAAGGAGTCATCGTCAAGCCAGTACAGATTAGTACAGGTAAAATAATACAAAAACACTCCATATAAACAACAAAATTTGTACATTCATGAAATTTCACCCGTAAGTTACTAATAATATGAGAAATGAAGATCCGATGAGTCCCCAAAATTTTGGGCGTCCCAAGGCCCTTTTTAGGGCCCTTTTTGTTCCGAAGGGCCCTTGTTCCTGAATAATTTTGTTTTTACGTTTAAGGTCGAGTGAGGCGTGGTTTTCGATGGTTTTAGTTATTTTAAATCAATTGGGACTAGTTTTAAGTGTATTAAACCACTCCATACAGGGTGTTTCGAAATATAAATACTTTTTACAAAATTTAAAGATTTATTCATAAAGTAATAAAATTAGTTACCTCCATGCTCTATATAAAAGGGGATTATTGAAAATAACTTTAATTCTTTACTATATAAGAGGGAAGGATCACAAGGAGTAATAGAAAATATTAAGTACCCCCGTCACAGCAAACCTGCAGACTAAGCAAATTTTTATTTGCCCGATTTTCAAATAAAACTAAAATAGCATTGAGTTTAATGAATACTTAGGTTTGCTGCTACGAGGAGGCTAATAAAGTGTGTTTATAGTAAAATATTAATAGCCTAGTATAAAACAAATAAATTTGACAAGTTTTATTGAGACATATCTATAGACAAACAAACAAAATCATTTTACACTATAAGAATAACAGGGAATTTTAAATTTACAATTTTTGAATTTCATTCGTAACTAAAAAACTTACAAAACACGTTAATATACTAAATTTTTTGTTTTCTTTAAGCTCTTTAAAATGCTCTAAAGAAAAATTGGGAAACTTTGTGTTATGAGGGTCAAAGATTACAAATTTTTACCACATAAAACCCTGTTCCATGGACCGATTATGCCGGTTTTGTTAAAATTGAACCAAAATTACTCGAGTTATCATGTTTACGGACACGTATATAACATGGATATATTATATTATATATATGTATATAAACACATATATAATATTTTAAGTGGATGGTGCTAGCTTCTGGGTGCATCAAAATGAAAACATAAATCGGTTTCGGGTCTATGTTTTACTATAGGACCTTCGGTAATAGCTTATTATCTATATTGGAAGTTAAAGGGGGATAAGTTATCCCCCGTAAAGGGGGGTTAGGTTATATGGTGGGTAAAAGGGGGTGGATTAAGTTTTACTATATAACATAATAACATAGGTTACTACGCAAAAGTTTCAACTTTTAAGGTGGTGTGAATAATCTTTCAATGTGTTTTTTATGCAAATCTATTAAGACCAATTTCAAATCGATATGTATTTTTCTTAGGTAGTTATTTAAGATATTTTTTTACATTTATTAAAAATTAAAACAATTGTATTTGTATAAAACCTTACCTTACATATTA